CAGTACATAACCCTTTAAAATTATGAATAAGGCTAAAAACTCTTGAAAACCATAAATCCACATGTGGACGTCACCTGTGCAAAGATTCATGCTGCTAAAACAAACTAGAGCAAAGTTAAAAGGGTTTTAGTAAAGAAATAATTTGGCATTTTTACAGTCTGCACAGGATATAGTTTCAGATTTATTTATTTTCTTTCTTTCTGACTCAGTTGCTTAACATTTTCACTGTTTGGTGGATGCAGAAATATGAGCTTTTAGCCTTAATGATCCTGTCGCTTTAGAACACGGGATGGAAGGAAACCCTGACTGTGTATTTATCATATCCTCTCTCATCTATTACTGTCTATGTTGTTTTTTGGTTTGAATGCCACACAGTTTAAGACAAACAACCAAAAACCTAACAATTCTCAAAATAATGCACATATCCCACCGCCTTTCATGCCGGAATGTGAAACTTGGATCATCCTATGTTGTGAGATGAGAAAATGTGAGACAAACTATTTCTAGATGCAAACAAACACAAAATGACTCTGTGTTAACATTCCTCARAACAGCCACCTGGTGCTTTAACAACATACCACAGAGTACTAAAGGATGGTAAATCAATAAGCTCACTATTCTTGTTTTCTATTTCTAGATTCAAGAAAATACCACATATTTTAACATTAGTACAACAACTATTTCACTTTCTATGACTTGCCATTAGAAAAGTCACTATTTTTTTTCTTTCTTGGTTTATGTGGCTCTGGTTGTGACTCAGAATCAGTTTATTTTTATTCAAACTCCTTTCACACAGGACTTGGAGTGTAATATGATTAAAATGTAATAAATAATACAACATAATGTTATATGCATATTATGTATAAGTGTGATACAACAAATGTAACTGATTAAAAACAAAGCTAAAAATGCAAGGTGCAGCAGCCAGGCATTAGAATCAGCAGATCACAGATATGTAGTGCTACCCTTCTTTTTAAAAAGGTAGCTTCATTTCTTACAGGATTTTTTTAACTACTTTCAATCATTTGCAAATTGTCAATAAATCCAGAAAGAAAATTTTGTCTGGATATGAAGACTTAGATGAAATAATGTACAGGGGTTAGACAATGAAACTGAAACACCTGGTTTTAAGCCATAACATCCCTTTCAGACAGCTTCCTCTTGCATCCACAGTTAATCCTGTTGGCTGTGGTTGGTCGTTCTTGGAGGTATGCTAACATTACCCTGGATATTGTAGCTCTTGATACATCACAAAGACTTGATGTCTTGGTCACAGATGCACCAGCAAGACGTGCACCAACAATGTGTCCTCTTTTGAACTCTGGTATGTCACCCATAATGTTGTGTACATTGCAATATTTTGAGCAAAACTGTGCTCTTACCCTGCTAATTGAACCTTCACACTCTGCTCTTACTGGTGCAATGTGCAGTTAATGATAGGCCACCAGGCTGGTCCAGTTTAGCCATGAAACCTCCCATACTAAAATGACAGCTGTTTCAGTTTCATTGTCTAACCCCTGTAGTTAAAATTAAACTCTGTTTCTCTAAACAAAGGTAATTCAACGAGCTATCTACAACATGCAAGATATTAATTATTCATAACCTT